AAATGCTAAGGCAGTGCGATCGCGTGATCAAGTACGCGAACGCGAAAGAGTAAAGAGCCAAAGTTACGCGATCGCAGGCTGAAGATTGCGATCGCGTAAGAGGAAATCACTGGGCAAAAAGTTGCAGAATTTCTGCTATGTTTTCCTAAGTCAAAACATCCCGAAACACCTCCGAAAGCACTCCCGGGCCCTCGGGGCTCCTAACCAAACACACACACTAACTCAATATCATCCTACGAACTTGCTCGAGCGATCAAATCGCTAAAATAACATCAAAATCAAAGAATCAACCCCCAAAACTCATAATTTTTTATTTCAAAGTTCATAAACCTTCCACTTTAGCTATTTAGGTCCGAAACACGTCAAACGGCGTCCGATTTTGGCCAAATTTCACAGGAAGCGCTTAACGCATATTTAAGACCTGTACCGGGCGTCGGAACCAAAATACGAGCCCGATACCTATATTTTCTAACTCATTTTCATTTCCATTTTTCCTTATTAATTTCAGAAAACAATTTATCAGAAAAATTCTTTTACCGGGGTTCTGGACCTCGGATTTCGACTCCGGGCATATGCCCGAGTCCCATATTTTTCTACGGACCTCCCGAGACCGTCACATCACGGGTCCGGGTCCGTTTACCCAAAATGTTGACCAAAGTCAACTATATCAATATTAATATCATAATTCACCAAATTTTTCATAGAATTCATATATTTTAACAAAAAAATTTCCGGCTTCGCGCCCGGAGTGCGCACGCAAATCGAGGCAACCAAAAGTGAGGTTTACAAGACCTCGGAAGCACGAGACGAATGAGGAAACAGGTGATGACCCTTTGGGTCGTCACATCCGGTGTAGAATTAGGCTTGAATTGGCGAAGTTAGTATTTTGGCGAATTCCGGTTGATAGGTGAGATTTTGATCCGAGGGTCGGAATGGAATTCCGAGAGTTGTTGTAGCTTCGATATGTGATTTGTGATGTGTGTGCAAAATTTCAGGTCATTCGGACGTCGTTTGGTTGGGTTTTTTAACGAATGCGTGTTTCGGAAGTTTTAAAAGAACTTAGGCTTGAATTCGATGAGAATTGATGATTTTTGTGTTGTTTGATGTGTTGTGATGATTGGAACAAGTTTGGATAATGTTTTAAGACATGTTGGTGCTTTTGGTTGAGGTCCCGGGGGGCCTCGGGGTGATTTCGGATGGCTAGCGGGATGAAATTTGGATTTGGAGACTTCAAATGTTGCTGATATCTGGTATTCTCGCTTCTGCGAGTCTTGGACCGCAGAAGCGGACCCGCTTAAGCAATGGGTTGACCGCAGAAGCGGTGAGGAGGCCTGGGCGCCTGGTTCCGCAGAAGCGTTGGTGTAGCCGCAAAAGCAGAATCGCTTATGCGATGTTGTGACCGCAGAAGCGGTTTGGTTCGAGAGTGGGATTTCCGCAGAAGCGGAAGGAATAGCGCGGAAGCGGTCCCGCAGAAGCGGGATGGGGACCGCATAAGCGAAAGTGCTGGGCTGATTATTAAATATTTCCTCCGCGAGCTAGGTATTATTTTCCTCCATTGTTGAGCATCTTGAGAGCTTTTTGGGAGCAATTGAAGAGGGTTTCTACTGGAGTTTATTGAAGGTAAGATTTTTGAGTTAAAAACATATCTATTATGTGAAATTAACCTAGAAATTCAGGGAATTAAGCCTAAAATTGATGGACTAGGGCTTGAGTTTTTGATATTTCAATTTGGGATTTGACAGGTCATTTGAGCTCGGATTTGATAGTTCTTGGTATGTATGAACTCGTGGCGAGACGAGGAATCCGGTAATGTGAGTTTTGTAATTTTTCGAGAAGTGGGCCCGGGGCTCGGGTTTTGCTAGTTTCGAGATTTCTGCTATTTCTCGATTGTTTTCGATTGGGTATTGTCCCATTGGCATATTGTGATGTATTCACCCTGATTTTGGTTAGATTCGACGCGCGAGGAGGCCGATTTGAGGGGCAAAGGCGTCGCGGGCTTGAGATTTCGCCGGTTCGAGGTGAGTAATACTTGTAAATGATATCCTGAGGGTTTGAAACCCCGGGTTTGCACATCATAGTGCTGTATTGAGGTGACTTGCACGCCGGATAGCGGGCGTGTGGTAGAGCACCGTTGGGGATTATGACTTGGTCCGTCCCGATTGATGAAATTACTACGTATTTGACTGAAACTACTTGTTATCATCATGATTTGGGCCGATTGCCATGCTTTGGGCTTCGTGCCGATTATTTGAATCCTTCAGGGATTGATATCACTGATTTTGCATTACTTTGCATGTTATTTGACCTCGGTCCAGGGTTTTAATACTGTTTTGCAAATTCAGCCATTTTTCATGATTTGAAAACTTAAATGATATTTTACTGACGTTTTGAACTGAGAACTGCTATTTTATTATTGCCCAAGGGGCTTATGTGCATTTCTGGACTGAGCATGGATCGGGTTGCGCGCCGCAGCAGTGCTATAGTGATTTCTGGATATATGGATGGCTCGGGCTGTACGCCGCAGCGGTGTTATATTGATATTGCGCTTGGGCTGTAGGAGCCCCTCCGGAGTCTGAACCCCCACAGTGAGCGCGGGTACCTAAATGGATCGGGCTGCACGCCGCAGCGGTCATATGCAATGCATTGCATTCATGTATTGGTTCCTGTTTGTAATACGTGTCATGACATTCAGCACTCTCATTTCATTGGCATTCATGCTACTTCTTGCACTGTTTACCAGACGCCCTGGTGTTAATTGTTAGTGGAGTGCTGTGCCCGAAGGGCTGACTTATGTGCTGACTTGCACTATCTGATTACGCATTCATTTGCTTAACTGTTGGAAAGGATATTTTCAAAAGAAGTTTTAACCGAGTCCAGATATTTTCTAAAGGATTTTTCACGGTTTTACTGTTTTCTCAAAGATTTGCACTGTCTTATATAGCATGATGGAGTGCTTTTACGTGATTTCTTATCGCTCAGTTATTATTTACTTTTATTGCTCACTGAGTTGGAGTACTCACTTTACTCCCTGCACCTCGCGTGCAGTTGCAGGTATTGTTCACCCGGTAGCGGGTTATTAGCTGATTGAAGGTATTACTATTGTAGCCGAGTAAGGTGCACCAGACGTTGTCTTTAGCATTCCAAAATTTATTTTTGTATAATATTGGCCCTGTAGTTGTGTTCAGGTTCCTTTAGATGCTCGTGACTTGTGACACCCCGGTCGGGTTGTGTTGGGTTGTATATACTGGTTATGATTGTCGTTAAGTTGTATTTATCTATTCAATTATGTTTAAAAATTGTTAAAGAGACGATTTGGGTTAGTTAGCTGGCCTTGTCTTCACGAGAGGCGCCATCACGACCGGGTTTGAAAATTGGGTCGTGACTGCAGAGTAGGATACGAAAGTTTATTTATATACAATGGAAAGCCCCTATAATCCATGGACGACCAGTGGAGTTCATAAAAGAAACCAAAGAAAGGTCCGCGACAAAGCTGTCCCCTCTCTCCATATCTCTACTTACTGGCTGGGTGCAGATAACACTGTAATAATAACAAAGCCAGATAGAGATACTGTTCGTTCAGAATTGATTCAGATGGCGAGGACCCACGGAAAAATCCACCTTATTCATGCTCCGCACAGCAACTTGCCCGGTCAATATTATATGTCTATGCTAAACTTGGTGATCTATTTTCGTTGCCTTAAATTAGGCTCTATAGTCTGGTCCATGTCCCTGGTAAGGTCTGATTGCTATCCGTAAGTCTTGTTTTGACCGCGGGAAGGTGAACTTTGCAAAAGTGCTTATTTGGTTGGGAAGAATAGGACTTCTGACTCCAAGCCTACCCTACCCGAAAAAAAGTTTCAGCTATTGATGTAGCCTCTTGTTGATACTACTAGTCTTCTCGCTACCTGCGGCATAGGAGCCGACTCGGCATCAGCGGCTTCGTGCCGCACTGGAGTAATCCAATATGTGGTTCCGCACGTTCCACCACTTCTCCGTTCATTTCCAATACTGATCGTGAAACACCATGAGCAGCAGAAAAAGGAGGAAGATGACTTTAATCTCTTGTTTCGGAGAAATAAGTGGCTCACGAAGAATGGAAAGAAACATATTATATTTGATCTCTAAGTCCGTACATAGCAATCCTGGGTGGGTCATCACTTGTAGGAATGACATAATGCTAATCCATATTCCACACGGTCAAGGAAGCATCGGTTTTTAATCTCATTATGACTTGGTCGTTCGGAAGAGCAGTCTTTTATTTCCCTTTTTTCTGAGAGAGATGTCGTCCTTCCAGTTCCTGATTAATTGAGTCCGCGGAATAGCATTTTTGCTAGTCAATCATCTAATAATTTGTTCTTTTCGTGACAGCGACTTAAACAACGACTACAACTTTATTATAGTTTCTTTTTTTAAATTATTTCTTGTCCAACTTACTGCCGGAATAGTTAGATAGGCCATAGGAAGCTTCCATGACCAAGTCCTGCATCCTTGGCACACAATTACAAAGTTCTCTCAATTGCAAATTATTAACCCTTTCGCTGCGTGGAAAATTATCTAAAATATGATAAACATAATTTCAGGGAAAACCTTTAATTTACTTGTTTTATTCCTTTCCCTTCTTATAAAGGACGCTCAGTAACCTCCAAATTTGAACAAAGAGAGACGAGAAAACATGTCATGCACCAAATAATAGGCTGCATTAAGCTCGTTGAATTGTCTTCCAACATTTTAAAAATAAAAATAAAAATTGGGTACATCACATTAATATTTTACTTGTGATGGAGCGGTAGGTACTCCTTCATCTTTAACCAGAGGTCTCGGGTACGAGTCCCAATGTGGGACTTTCCGGCGCGAATTCGAATTTAGCTGAGCCCCAATGTGGGTTACGGACACCGGGTGGTAAACAAAAAAAAAAAATTACTTGCACATACACAATTAACACGAATGCTAAATTTACTCATGGTGTTATCAACACTACTCACCTACTTGACAATACTCAATAATCAGATTCCACAAAGTTCCAAATTCCAAAGTAATTCCAAATATAAACAATGACATGGATTCATAGGTGAAGAATGACAAGCGGAATCACTCACCGGTAAGATGTACCTTTGTGCTCTTATGCCAAAAATTTGGATCGTACAATTAATATGAAGGACTACATACTACCAAAACTGCTAGTACTAGAAGCTTTTAACAGCTGATGAAAAGAAATTGGCGAACACAGTCAAATCCCAACAGTAAACAAACCTACAAATAACTATAGTTGAAAAAAAATGACAGGAAACAATGCCCAACTGGTCACTTCAACATTTGCATGAATGTTCTTGCAAATCCTTGTTTAATGTCTTCACAAGCCAAAATTTGTTGCCTGTAGAATCACATGTGCCAGGAACTCCCAGCATAATGATTTACATCAGATTACATGGACAACTCTGCCCTAACATTCACTTTTTCAAAGTGGGAACCATGTCACCCAGTTGAGATTCACAATCTGGTTCCAGAGCCCTAAGAAACGACGCTTTCAGATTAAGGTCTGTTAAAACCTGAACGACTTTGCCACAGAACTTCCGCACATCAGCTCGTCTTGATGCCTTATCGGGCATATTTCTCAGCAGTGCATTAATTAGATAGCCTAACTTTGCAGCATGACTCTTCAACTTTTTCTTTGACGAATCCTGGCTGCTGTCATCAGGGTTTACAGAAGTAATTGATTTTAAGATCTCAATAACCAGTTCAAGAGCTTCAATTTGCCGAAACTGTAGCTTTGCACTAGCACATTTCTCCAAAAGAACTCCAAAAAGGTGATGTCCAATCCAAGGTCGCCTTTTAAAAACTTCTTTTAGAAATTCACACTTCATATGAAACTTTTTAGTCTTAAAATACTCCTCCAGAATTCCCTCAAATACACCAAAAACCTCCTGAAGTTCAGGCTCTGGAAGCTTTTTAGCATCAATTATCTTCAAAATCCAAAAAGTTGAACTCTGAGCAAGAGAATTGATCATTTTGTATCTATTCAAGGCGACAGACTGCTTTTTGTTTGACAAGTTAGCAGATTTCTTTTTCTTGAAAGGTTTTGCTGCCAGTGTCAAGTTCCTTCCCAAGAGTGTCTTAAGCACTGCAAACTGAATGGCTTCACCTCTTGGATAGTCCTTTGCCTTGAAGATTTTCTTCTGTAAAATTCCCCAAATTCGCTGGACAAGCTGTTCGTTACCTTCCGTAGTGTGCGGGTTTACAAATGCTTGAGCTAGGTTTGAGAATATTTTTAATACTAGCGGCTTCCCTGCAATGCGTAATGCAAAAGGAACCACGGCCTCAGATCATGATATGCAGCCATAAAGATCAATGCTTATGCTGGTTCTTCTTTCATATTCTTTTAATTAATCATAGAGGTTAGTTATAAGACAAAAAATCTCTCAAAAGCAATCCAGACAAAAAGAGTAGACCACAAATGGAAGAAGCAAAGAACCCATATATGTGATACCAACCTGTTGGAATTAAGTTTTAGCTATTCTTGTTGTTACATTTACACTGGTCCAATGTTCATTGAGAGACTTCTTATTCTAATTAAAGACTTGTATATCTTATATATATATATATATAGCCAAAGCGTGAGATTATAAGAACATTTAGTTAATGACTCTAATTTACCTTAAAAGACAAATTATTTAATATATGCCGAAATTGTGGGCCAAAAAGCCAAATGGTTGAGCATTAACACTGCTAGGTCCCAACAACTGCAACCAAAATAATTATGATGCCACATGGTGCCAAAACCCCCCTCCTTTTTTGGTCATTGATTCTTTATTTGGTAGGGAATAAATGAAGATTAAGATGCTACTGATAACTTCACATGGAAAATGTACAACCTCTAAGGCTTAAAAAAGCATATACCCCAGTTTCCATCATAATGATCATGCCAAAATTCTAATCATGGAGTTAGGATATGAACTAAGATTATACATAAGGAGATCAGCTTTGAAGTCAATTCAGAGATCCTTAAGATAAATACACTTAGTGAATCAAGAAAAGACTTGCCTGGATTTTCATGTAGGTAAATCTCTAGCAACGAGAGGACACGAAGTTTGAAGAGGATAAGCTGTGAATGAGCAGTTTCACCACCAGCCTGGTTCTTCCTTTCCTTGAATATTTTAGCAAGATAAGTGTCCATGCGGAACATGGCATCATCATCCATTCCCTCATCAGATTCATCATCAGAAGCTCCAGGAAGTTCTGAGCTTGCTGCTTCAACACCAACTACTGTCGCCGAGTCATCTGCCTGTCCATCACTCTCCGCAGTTTCATCCATCTCTGCTTCATCTGATTCCTCTGCTTCTTCAATGTCAAGAACATCCTCGTCGTCGTCGTCATCTTCACTCTCACTTTTCGTTTCTCCGCGTCTGGCTGGTTTGAGATCTTTTTTTATAACCCGCAACATCCGAAGTAAGCCATCATCCGTGACATCACGACAAAAACATTTGAAAACCTAAAGAGACATGAAAATTTTTTAGTAGGTAAAGAACTCTCCAACTAGAGGTTTCCACCCTCTCCATAACACAAGAAAATATAGATATAAAGAACGCATACATGCCCACTTACGAAAAATAAAGACAACAACCAACTTTAATGTATTCATATTATGCAACTGCTAAGTATGTAGAATTCCGATCAGTGGACAAAGAAAGATAGTTGAAAGCTATCAAGTGCTTTTCCACGTTGAAAAGACAGAGATGGGAGGGTCATCAAAGGAACAGGAATAGAAACTTTTTTCTATAATAAGCAAATAACTCCGTAGCGAAGAGACCAACTACAGAATGTTTCAATGAGTTCCTTTTTGATGAAGTAAGCAGGTTTCACAGATGGCATCAAGCAGACACAGAAATAGAATGTTCTAATGAGTTCCCATGTTTGAGTTTGGTTAGACACAAAAAAATGTAAAAGATTACAGTCAAATCAAACTGAAAATAATATGAATAGGTAAGGTATTTTGCCTTTGTGAAGAAGGCAAACTTTATCCATTTGAGGAAAGACTAACACGTCCAGTCTTTTCGTGTTTTATTTGGGGGTTCGGGAGGTGCTAAAAACAGGAAACTCAGACAAAAAACAGGAGAGTACCATTAAGAGAAACCCACTACAACAGGTGTATCCAGAAAGAAACCTAATGAATCAATGCATTCACTTCCTTTCTCTCGTGAGATAACAAGGGTCACTTCAAAGAAAGCAACTACAGCAGGTGCGTCCAGAAAAGCAATCTAATGAAGCATGCATTCACTACTGTTTTTCTCATTAGATAATAAGGGTCATTTGAAAGAAAACCTATGGGGAAGAGTGCAAAAAACAGGACGAATGGAGTTATGCATTCAGCAAAATTCTCTCTTTTGATAAGCAGCTTTAGATTTGGTGCTAAAGCTGACTTTGTGATTATAATTTGTACCTTTCAATTATTTATAAATAAAAAGGAAAAGGAACGATATCTGACAGCTAAATAGACCCAACCTTCCAACTTGAGTAAATATCTAGCATCAATCATCCATTCTGTTTCTCACGAAGAACATGTACTAGTCAAGTCCGCCTCCCAACCCCATTTGAGGATACGAAAGTAGAGATGCATATACGCATAACGCAAGGATCACAACGGCTAAGACTCGCTATTGGAATTAAAGTCTAATAAAACACAAAACATACATTAGTTGCAACTGACTCATTGTGGTTTAGTCTTTACTAGATTTTGCTACAAGACAGCAACTGATTATATATTACAAGAACCACTAATTACATTCAGTTTCCGTTTTTCAACCATTTAGTGTTATCAAGTGGAAGTAGCTTGCTTTAAAAATTAATATTAGCAAAAACCAAGGCAGATTTTTTTCTGGGAAGGACAAAATATCATTGATGTCAAAGCAGCACCAAGTACGTCCTGTCAAATATAGTACAAGATGAGCAAAGCACTGATTTTGTCAAGCAACACATTCACATTATGTACAAACACCAGGCTGCACCAAAAGGATAGATGTAATGAAGACTAGCTGCACTTCCTTTTTGTCCTTCAAAAAGTCTATTGTTTCTTACTATCCACACAGTCCACCAACACTGCTTGAAAAATAGCTCTACCAGCAAATGACTTTTTAATTTTGTTTGCCTTGAGTAGGAAAATACTAAAGAAACCATCATGCTAAGGTCTGACTGTAAGGTATACTCCTCCATTACGAAATTGTACACCTACTGACCTTTAGGCACATCCAAAAAGAATTAACCTATTTTATTAGAGAAAACGTTATACAATCTCCATGAATCAAACTAATGTAGAATAAACTGATTTGTTTGGTCTGTGACAGCCTTTTACGTTTCAAGTTACTGTAGAAATGTTTCTTTCAATAATGTGCACCAAGTCGGTGTTGCAGATATTTTTTAAGAGAAGTATGAAACTCAATATGTATACTGCAAATTTAGCCAGCATAACAAAAGTGAAGGTGAGGTGAGTTTATATGAGAATGCAGTGCCTAAATGCAAACAAGTAAGATATCTTGGCTTGATAGTACGATAGATGAAAATGTTACACATACAATTAAAATAGGATGGTTGAAGTGCTACCGAAATGTTATGCGAAGCATACATATCAAAGTGAAAGAGTTTCATAGAAATGTTTTAAGATCAGCAATGTTGGAGTGGATACCGGACCTCTAAGGTCCAACATATTCACAAGATCAAAAAATTTTAAGAAGAATGTATAGTCATGCAAGAGAATACAAGATTAATAATTGATCAGATTCAGCAAAAAGTGCAGGTAGCACACATGGAGGATAAAATGAGAGGCACTCGCTTAAGATGGTGAGGTCATGTCAACCACCAGATGCACCGGTTGGTAGGTGAAAAACCATGGTGATTAAAGGTGATAGGACAAGATAAACCTAAACTCATGAAAGGGAAATTACCTTGAAGACCTACAATCACTTGAATCCTCGTAGACTTGACAAAAAATTGGGTACAATGGAAAAAAAAAAAGATCCATATAGGTAACACCAATTAGTTAGGGTTTAGTCATGTTGGTATTCTCACTTTAGGTCCACTATTCACTATGAGTTTTTAAATTTTATTAGGGATTTGAATGCCATCAAAAAATGTGGAGAACTTTCTAGTGCTATAGCCGAACCCTACTAACTTGGGATTGAGGTGTAGTTGTTCTAACTCGGTGTTTTTTAATAGTAGTCTTCTATTCTCAAAGTCAAATAAAAAATTTCAGGATGGAGTTCGCGATACATGCACTTGGTGAAATGATACATTAGGAATAACAGATTAGCACCTCATCAGGCCAGGGTTTCGAGAGGATAGTAAATCACCAGAAGCATTGATGGGATGTTATGCTTGCTTGCTGTATTTACTTGCGCAACAGTAATCAATCAAAAATTTACCTCCTCAATAGCAGTCCGCAATGGAGCTGATGACTGAGGCAGCAATGAAAGCATGGTGTCCACTAGAACATCCATCAGTTCAGGTGTACCTTCTCCATCTACTTCATCTTCTCCAGAGGAAGCAAGAAGATCAGAAGATTGAAAAGCTTTTGTACAGCAAATAACCAATTCGGAGGCGGCTTCGGAAAATTCCCCAGGCCGAAGTAGGACTTGAAGCAACAATTGTATCAGAAGGTACCTCATGGAATGAAACTTATTTGCGTCAATACTTGGGCCCAAGTTCCTCTCCTGCCATCATTTGGAGAAAAAAGAATAATGTAAGATGGAAAAAGAAAAGCAATCTAAGTTTCTCCCAGAAGAAATGAAGTACATTTCGCTTTCCTGAACACAGTTATAGTGGTTAATCTGAAATAACAAATATAAGTCCCTGATGGAAATATAAAATGAGTAATAAGAAGATATGGTTTTTGAATTAGCTTACTCAGACTCTCTCACCCAAGAAGGAGAACACGCTTATCTAACAATAAAGAAGAGATGAAAGGCCTAAAGCAAGGGACATCGGTTTCACAAAAGGCAGAAAATAGTTTGATTAGTGCTGAAGTCAGCAACCTTACTAGGATGCTACAAAATGAAGAATCACAAAATACCTCACCTGTCTTGAGAGCTGAGACTCCATATCCTGCAATTTTTTGAATGCCTCGTCATCCTCGGCATTCAAGGACCTGAACAGTGAAACAGAAGGAATGTTTCGCAATGTGGTAAGAAATCGCATGAAATACGCTCCAAGATCGTTAACTTCAACACCACTTGCCACAACATGAGGTCCTTCTCCTTTTAGAGCATTTGACAGCAGTAACTGTAGCTGCTCAATGCACATTCTACAAAGAGCACTTGAAATGGAAGACTTTGGCCACCTAAACTTCTCCTCCAATTCAAAAGATGTCACCTCAGTTCCAAGAGTTGAAGAGAATAAACCCTGCACGGCCAGAAATTTGAGAATTTCTCTTTGCACCCTGAACTTTGCATTTGTATCCAAAGTTAGATGTTTCAAGCTATTGGGAAGTGACTCTACAACCCAGCCTTTCAAAAAATCTGAAGTTGCTGCTGCTCCAACAGAATCTTTATAATCTACGGAACCAATTTCTGAGTTGTCATCTGTTGTTTGACTCTGATCTGAAGGCTCGTCAGAAGCATGACCTTCATCCAGGAACATGTCAACCAAGTTCTGAATGAGAAGCATGCATCCCGACTCAGTTTTAAACTCAGCCATCAACTCTTTTACTGTTTTTGTCCTGGTGATGGAATCGAATTTCCCATTACTATGTTTCTGTAAAGCCACAATAACTGCCACTCTTCTTACATCATCATGCTTCACCCACTCAGATAATTCTTTCACAAAATATTGACTGGCTTTGAGTAGATTAGTGTCTTTTCTGGAAAGTACATCCATTAAGCAACGTACAACTTTGTGCGATAGGATATTGTAGATGCACGAAGCGGGCAGTTTTGGAAGGAGAAGCAGCAGAACATTGAGTGCCAAGCTCTTGCGTTCATGAGATGGTGATGAAAGAAGTGATCCTTCAATGATAATTTCGCAAAAGTTTTTAAGATTTTTCTCAATATCTTCTTCTGCTGAGCTACCCTTGCGGTTTTTTTTGTGCTTTTTTACCGAATTCAAAGCTGCTGAGGGATCAAACTCTTGTACAACATTTTCAGGTAAGAGAATATTTACCAATGAATACCATACACTATGAGTTCGTGGATGGCAGAAACTGGACTCCTGCACATCCATAAAGTCCACAAATCAAAATATGAACAAACCTTTTCAAGGAAGGAAAATGAAGAAGTTTAATAGCACCTTCAAGCAATTGGAAAGCAAGGACAGATGTTCGACAGTGAAAAGCCTGCCGGGGGTATAAGGAATAGGCAGAAGCTTTCCAAACTCTTTATCATCGAAACGAACTTTTTCACGTATAGCAAGGGCAAGAAGCAAAGCATCGGGATTTCCAACTTTTGTTGCACCTTCAAACCACTCTTTAAGTCCAGGAGCTTCAAGTATATGATTCAATGAAGCTTCAACAGGTAACTGACATGACAAAAATGTGGATAGTGACACGGCTAAACAGAATGCACCTTACGGAAAAAACAAAATTAGAGGAAAAGGACATAATGGTAAAGAATCAATGCACTTAATTACAAAAAGCTGAACCAGCAACATGACAGAAGCAATTTTAGAGGAATAGGAAAATGTAATACTTTTTGGATAAGTAATAGAACATTTTATTGCGCAACAGATGGTACAGGAAGAGGTGATGTATATAAGACAAGTGAAAAGGTCCTAAAAAGTTTCATAAAGGAGATGTATAAGCTCATATAAGTTCGAAATGACAGAACAAAGCCAATCTATGAATCTATTTTTAAGTAATAACTAAATCGTACATGCTAAGCTTAAATTTGCAATTCACGGGCTTGTAAAAGTTAAAGTACCTTCTCAACCAACTCCAAGATAATTAAAACAGCAGGCTCTTGCAAGTAACGCTTCTTCGTTGCCAGTGAGACAAGAGAACCAACAAATTCTTTAATATAAGGAGTGTCCTCATCAGCAGTCCGCTCTAAAAGTAATCTTCCTGATCTTGCAATAGCTCCATAAGCAAACAAGCGTCCCAATAAGCAATCTTTTATGTCCTACAAAACAAAATTAAACTGTCAAGTCAGCCCATAGGATAACTAATAAATTCACGAACAAAGGCGACCATTCCAACCTGACCCTTCATGGAAGAAGAGATCTCCAATAGTTCCACAATTAGCTTCAATAGCGCACCCACTTTTATGCATGGAACTGTACCAACCAATATTGTCATTCCTAATGCAAATCCTTGCCTTGCACACTGCACATATAAGAAACAGATAAAGACTTTGTAGGGGAACATTAAGCTTATTAAGACAATCATGGCACATAGAACTATGAGTAGCATGGCACATAAAACTATAAGAAGAATAGACATCCGCCACTAAGCCTATAATATTTCATTTGACCTTTAAATTTAAGTCTGTGGATAATATAGCTATTAAAGTTATTCAAAGACATAAGCTATGAGTAATCTACCTGCCAGTGACCATAATGTAACTTTCTGAGGTTCTACCATAAAATAACATTTCAAACGTAAAGACAGGAGAGCATAGCTTAATCATCTTATTGTACGATACAAATTTCCTGCATGAATTTGCTTTTAACAGGTGGGAAGTAAACAAGAACACATAAAGATATTTTAGCACATTACAAAATATGTTATTGCTGCTAGCTGTACGTACTTCTCACTACTCAGCATTTTGTTAATGCTGGAAATCAATAATACTATCTATTGTTGATTAAAAAAAGAACCTGTGAAGATATTCGTTTCCCAACAAATTTTCAATTACAAAATGAAGATGGGAAGGCATACAACCGTATTTAAACCATTAAGTTTAATAGTAACAGGATAATTAGGCATTTATCGTTGGACGAAGAATACGGTAACTAGTAGAGGTAAAAAACAATTAGGCACTTATTATTTTCAACAAAACTACAGAACAATCATACTACAAATTAGACAAACACACCTCTCTTGATGAAGAAACACCACGAATGAGCCTCCGAACTGCATATCTCAGAGAAGGGGCACAGTTATTCAACCCATCATCCTTTTCAGCTTCCAATTTGAGCTGACCATCAACCACTTCCTTGTTCTCCAGATTATCATAAGCCTTCTGAACTTCAAGCAACTCAGCAACTAAAGACTGAGCAGCTGCTTCTCTAATAGACACTTCAGCAGCTGCAAGGTCCTTAAATACACCAATGTGGAACTCAGGCAACCCACTACTAGTAGTAGAAGAAATCTCCGTCGTCTCATTACATCTCGACTCAAGAGAGGCCATCATTTGTTTATGCCAAGCCTCAGCTTTTCTCTCAGACTCGGCTCTGTGTCTCTCTTTGTCTAGAGCTTTCTTTTGCTTCTTCCTCTCCATAGGATTGATGGAAATCTTGTGAGGAGTTGATGGGGTATTGGGCTTCTCCTCTGCTTCGGCCTTTCTTTTTTTAGTGTCTTTCTTCATTTTCTCCCTTGGCTGCTCAGACCCAACCATCTCCACGCTCATAATTCCAGAGTTTGTCTATCTCGACAAAAGTCCAAGTTGTAAGGTACTAAATAAAACAATCCATCATTTAAGATAGTTAGAATTGTAAAGTTCCTACAATTATATTTTGGTGGTTCCTAAAATACAGAAAGTATGAGCAATTAGAGAAATAAATACTTTCTTGATGAAAATAGAACAAAATCAAACTTGAAATTACTAGAGAATCATATACTTTCAAAGAGAATGACAAAATAAAATTTCTAAATTATTTCATTGATTCCTAGACAGCCAACTATTGAAGCATATTAAGTATAACGCAGCACACAGTTATATTTAAATTATTTAAAGCCAAATTTCAGCTAACCATTCACTAAACTATGTTCAATTTTCACATTGCCTCGGAGCTTTCATTTAGACTCATGAAAATAGAACATCAAATTTGTACCTAAAACATCTCAATCATTAGAGTTAAAAGGGTCGGAGTATCTATAATGAATGGACAGATAGCACACGAGAGAAGAGAAACACATACAGTTTTGATTCAGGCGACAAGCTTCGTTTTCACGAGCAGAGGAGCAACTTAGCGGCAGAGGGTTTCGAAAGAAATGGAATTAAGACACAAATATAGTTACCATAAGGGCCGACTATTTGGGATTCATTCAGTGTGTGAGACTTGGGCTGGGCCTAAGTCTATATTCAAAGGAATCTTACATAAAATGGGTGAACAGTTACCCACAAAAATAAAATTATTTACCTTTACTTACTTAATTATTTTTCTACCCATCAAACTAATTACATTTCCTATCCGTAATAATTTTTGTGGGGATTTTTCTCTTTTTTCTCCAATTCTTTTTTATTTCTATACTTCTTTTCTTTTTTTCTTTCTTTTCTCCTTTTCTTTTTTCTCGTTTTCTTCTTTTTTTTTTCTTTTTTCTCTTTTATTCATTTATTATTTTTCCCAAATCGTATTATTGTTATTTTTACCTTAACTTATTTCACGCTCAATTTTGACTCCTTCTTTATTTATTTTTTCTTTTTATCTATTTTCTTTATTTCTTGTTCCTTTTCTAATTCCATTTAACTCCTTTTTTCTTTTGTTTTCTTTATTTCTTGTTCCTTTTCTAATTTCATTTAACTTCTTTTTTTTATATTCTTTTTCTCTTCATAATCTAATTTTATTTACTGTTTTCACTATTTTTTATTATTCTTTTTTTTATACAATAAGAAAAAATAACTG